CTTCGCCTCACCGAAAACCAAATTCCTCGTGGAGTCAGCCGTGCAATCCCACCTGGGAGCCGGCTGAGCCACCGCTGCCGATGAGCGGGGGGCTCGCAGGTTAAATCCTGCGCACGGGCCAGGAGAATGAGCCCGTGGCTGCGTGCCCCGGGGAGGACAGGCGCTGCTTTAGGTCCAGCCGGGGTGAGGGGCGCGGCGTTGGCCCCGGGTCGCCCGAGGGCAGGGCGACATCGAGAGCCGGCGTAGGGCGCTGATGTGAAGGACGGCTTGGGTTCCGAGGGAAGGCTGTGCCTGAGGGCTGCCGGGGGCAGCGCTGCCAGGGATGCCGGGCTGGCTCCCGTCCCGGGGGAGGCCCGGGCGGGAGCCGGCCCCGCTGCGGGGCGGTGCCCGGGCCGGAGGGGCCGCGGCGGCACCTGGAGCGGCCCCGCCCGGGCCGGGGAGGGAGCGGCCGGGTCGGGGCGGCCGCAGAGCCCGCGGGACGCTGCCGGCAGCGGGCATGGCGTTCGGGAAGGCTCCGAGGGACGCGTTCGGCACGGCCGTGGGCAGCCTGGTCGGTGAGTAGCCCGGAGCGGGGCCCCGCGCCGCCCCTCTGCCCCCGCCGGGCGCTGACCCTCGGCTCCCCTTGGCCTTGCAGAGCGGGCGACGCTCGGCTCGCTGCAGACGGAGGAGTGGGGACAGTTCCTGCACATCTGCGACCTGATCAACGCCACGGAGGAGGGGTGAGCGAGCGGCTCGGGGGCAGCGCGGCAGCGAGCGGCCGGCGTGGGAGCCGGTGTGGAGCGTCCCGAAACGAATAGCGCAGAGGGACAGCTTCGGTTCCGGGCAAAAGCTGTGCCTGCCGCGGGGCCACCAGGGCTTTTCGGGATTAGGCTCGGAGGTTCTTCCCCGTAGACACACGCTAGAGAAACTGGTGACAGAGATTTCTTCGCTAGAGAAACTGGTGACAAAGATTTCTTATCTGGGTCTGACGTGTTCTGTACAACCCGTACTGCTCGTCAGGCTGAAGGGCTGTCCCTGTGCTCTGCAAACCCACCTGGAAAAAGGCTCTGAGCACTTGGCTGCCCACAACACTATTTAAAACTCTGTAGGCTCTTCGCCTTGGAGCTCCCTCCCCACCGTGCGGGGTCTCCGGCGGGCTGTGCCGCAGCCGGGGTGGAGGCTGAAGGTGGGCTGGGATCCTGCGGTGGGGTCCATCCCTTCCAGGTGTGCTCCCAGGACTGAGCTGGTCGCTAGCACCGGACGGCCACGTCCAGGCTTGCTCAGCCACTTGCTGCTCTGAACTTCCTTGTTTCCACCTGTTAAAGGGGAAAAAAGGAAACTTGTTCTCATGCAAGATCTGCTTCAGAATTGCATTGCAGGAACTCATTCTAGCAGTGGCATATTTTAATACTAGCTAAAGAGTTTTCTCCAGAGCAATGAGGTATTGTTTACTTTCTGCACAGGTGTCTTTTTTAATGTATCAACTTTTCTTTCCTTGTTTTGGACTCCTCTCACCCGTAGTTCTTAGTGCTTGAAAGGTCAGTAATAATGACTTCCTTCTGGTTATTACCATAAGCAACAACACGCTCTGGCCTTCAGTGTTAGTTTTTATGTAAAGTTTCCATGCAACCGAGCCATTTTTTAATAAACTGTTTCCTTTTGTGCACAGCTTAGGCTTGCAGGGGAGTTCCTTGTAACTTCCTCCTAGGCAGCTACTACTAGTCACAGTCTGTAACAGGATAGTAGGAGCAGCAGAACTGCTGCATCTAATTAGGGAAATGGTTATTTTAATGCAATATCCAGCCCCTGTCCAGAGCATTTCCAGATGCTTCAGTGAGGGAAGCAAGCAGGAGTGGGATTATAGTACAGCTCTCTGCAAGGGAAACTTCTCCACTCCTGTGCCTCCATCTATCACTTGATGCTCTACTGATGTGCCTGGGTATGATGCATGATTAAGAAAAATAGAGACATGTCTCTTGGTTTGTTTTTTCTCTTTTTCTCATGAAGTATAGCACTTCAGACAAAGAGATGCAGTAATGGTAAACACACACTTAATTTCACTGACTTTGAAATTATTTCAACAAAGATTACTTTTTATTTTTTTAGTGAAACATTGTATTTGGGCCTCTTGCTCCATCTTAGATTCTAGAGAGATCCTAAAGAGACGTTAGGACATCTTGTTTATGTTGATCATGAGTGTTGGGCTGGCCCTAATAATTGTACACTATAGGTAGTCCATATTGATGAGGCAAAACTGCTTCCCACATGTGATAACCTCGATACCATCTTCCACCCTTTTCCTCCTACACAGATAGTTAAAAGATACGGGGAGTATATATAGAAATGAAAATGGATGGGTTAGAAATGCCCCTATCTCTGGGCTGGAGTGGGTTGTCCATCCGTGGTAGTTACTCAGATGAGTTAAGTGCATCCTGCAATTATAAGATTGGAAGCTACCCATGACACCCCTACTCCTGACAACACTCCCAGGAGAATATTTTCTAATTGCATCATACAGGCAAACTGCCAGTCAACTCTTGCTACATCTGGCAATTGATATTTCCTTTCATGGCAATAAAAGCTAGATAAGTAATTCTGTTCTAAAACAGTGGAAAATGTAATTTTGGAGCAGCTTTTGCAGAGGAGAATAACTTCATTTCTCTGCACAAGTCTCTGGAGTAATGCACAGTCTGCTGTAACAAACCTGATTCACTGCTTTGTTGCTCTAGTTCAGTGCTGAAGAGATTTTGCTGAAATCAGTTGGGCAATTGCTCTGGTTTTATGTGGGTGTAAACACGGGGTGGATTTAGTCTTGTATCTCAGGCTGATATTTTTGGTTCTTGGATGAAGTTATGAACTAGAAAATTTCACTGGTAACTTTTCCTCTTTCATTTCTTGTCACAGACCTAAAGATGCAGTTAAAGCACTGAAGAAGAAGCTTTCAAAAAACTGTAACCACAAGGAGATCAGGCTTACCTTGTCTGTAAGTACAGCTATATTTATATTAATTAGACACTAAGAAGGCAAACAGTCTAAACGATAAGGTGGCATGCAAATTATCCCTGACACAACTCTCCAGGATGTTTTCAGTCTTTGTTGTTTGTGTGCACAGCACTGCCACAGTGCAGATCAAATGGTTTGCTGGCATTCCATGGACTCCTGGATGATGCAAATTCTGGTGGTGAGGGGGGCTAGGGGGATGGGTGGGGAGGTGACTTGTTCTATGTAAAAGTAGGATAGTTCTTATTTGCTCCAGCGACTGTCCTGTGAGAGCCCCACCTGTTTGTGAAAGACACAGAGGTTAGGATATTACATAAAAGCTACATTTGACCATTCTATTACTCACCTTGTGGTGCTGATCTTAGTCAAACTAAGCACGGTGTGCAGCATTGGTGGAATGTCTGATACGTGCTTGGTAAAAGGAAATGTTATCACAAATAAATGATAAACTTGAAGGAAAAGGTGGGTTACATAAGGGAGCAAGAGGCAGAGTGAGCTGTGTGAATTTCAGATGTTATGGCTAAAGGTTGGAGTGTCTGGGAATATCCTTACTTGACATGTGGTCTCTAGAATCTGACAGTGTTCCTGAACTGCCCCAGGGTTTGGGGAGCTGTTGTGATTTCAGCCAATTTAAGATTTACTTGTTAATGCAGGAAGTTCTAATACTGTCCTAAGTCCTGAATTTCTGACTTGAATTACTCTTGACTACCAGTGGTTCTACTATGACAAGAGTAATATCTTTTGCATTTTAAGTTCTTGAGAATTAATTTTTCGTTAATCGGCTAAAAGTATTTTCTTCACCATTTCCTTTTTTGAGGTTTTAGTGGCCTATCTGCATCACTTGAAGTACTGTTACTCATGGGTTTGGTATTTGTTGTGCAAAATCATAATCTATGTCAAGATGTGCTGAGAAGTGATTAAAGAAGATGGGTTATGGATAGTGCCAAATTGTAGGTTGCTTAGCAATTGCCCAAGTGTCTCGCGACAAGTTCGAGATGCAGATAATCATTAAACGTGTCAATACAGACCTTCAGCTCACTCTGTTTCCGCACTGGCTTCCTCCTCCACTGTCTCATGAGTCACGTTTTTGTGTGTTTTGTGTGTTTGCATAATGAGAACACTGGCTTTCCACTGTACCTGCAATCCCTGTATCCGGCGTGTCTCCTGCAGCCCTGGTGCAGCAGGGTCCTGTTGTGATTATCTGACACAGTCTCTGCTGATAACCCCGGGTTTAGGTTTGGGAGCTGTTCCTTGAGTATTTACAGTGCAGGTATACCCAAGGTGACACTATAGCTTAGCTTTTGAGTATATAAAAGTGGGGGAAGGATCTTGTTCCAGGTCTATCCATGGAAGAACTTTATCACACTGACCTGGAAGCTCATTGTGCTGCAGAGGGAGCATGCAGCAGGTTCAGCTGGGAATGCAATTCCTGTCCTGTACCAACCCCTTTCTCTGTCCTCACCCACTCCCATGCACACCTGTAACTCACCTGCCAGGCAGTCACATCCTCTTGGCCCAGCTGCTGTTTTCTGTTTGCAGAGATCTTATCCCTGTATTCCTCTTTTTTTTTTCCTTTTTTCTAAGTTTAAATAAGTTCCAGTCTTTCCTCTAACTCTTTCTCTTTCTAGCTTTAGTTCTTGCATAAGATCTTTTATACTTTGCCTCTCCTTCTGCCTCTGGCTTTTTTCCTTTTTCTTTTTTTTTTTTTTTACCAGTACTGCCATAATTTTAGCATGTGTGAAATCTTTCCTTTGATGACCTCATTGCTGGCCATGTGTGGTTTTTACCTTTCCCACATCACTCTTCCTATGTGCTGTGTCTTCTGTTTTTATCTTCTTAATTGCCTTAATGTAATTGTTCCTGTGTTCCATTTTGAAATGCTTAGATGACAACAGCAACTAATTGAAAATGGAAAAAAAGAAATAATTTTCAATCCCTGAAACACAAGCCCTTCCCTCCCTGTGGAACTCTCATCTTTTAAAAATTCTTTTTCTCACAGAGTTTTGCAAAAATAAGGGTTCTTTTTGGATGAACTGTTATTGCCTGTATTTCTTACAGTAAGTGTGGTCCTCTAGCTTTTGAGACTCTACATAAGATTCTCTCCTACCTACATTTGATAAAACTAAGAAGTTTCTACAAATCTCATTTCTTAGAAGTGCACTTTGATCCACTTCTATCTATTTAACCTTGACATCCTTGAATTTAGTATTTCTAATGAAGCTGCTTAAGGAGCTCATTCCCAGAGGATGCACACTGAGTGGAGTTTGGAAATCTTCATGGAAGCAGTTCAGCTGCACACGTTAGCCCTGATTCTGTTACTGGGATGTGTTAAATCTCAGCAGTGTGCTCCTCCTCCTCGCTCTTGGGTGATGCTTTATTTACTTGGAGGAAGAAGGCTGAGTGCCAGCTGGATAATGTGCTGGCTGTAGCTTGGCTTCAGGTGCTCTGAGCTGCTGAAGTTTCTGTGAAGTCACGAGGATGGAGGTGTTTGTGTCAGGCCATGGAATTGCCTCGTTCCCAGTCTTTGATAACACCGAGAGATCAGGGCTGGCACTGCCGGTTGTGCAATCAGAGTGAAGAGGATCAGAACTGTCAGGCAGGAATCCAACAGACTGTGTGTGTGTTACTTGACTTTTTATTGCTGGTAGATTTTAGATACATAAATTCAGTTTGGTTAATGAGTACTGAGACAGCTGTTCAGTCACCTGCACAGAGCAGCCTTGGTTTTGTAAAGCTTTGTTTGCTGCAGTGCCCCAGTTCCAATCCCTGTCAGGGCTCAGGAGCTGAACAGCTCATGGGGAAATTGTTCATTGAATGTATCCCTCTCACTCTTGCATTCAAAGCAGTGGGCAGAAATTTAAGATTAAATTACTGTTTCACCTGTGTATTACATTGTTGGGAAATATTTTAAAGGAAGTCATTTTCCCAGAGAAATTGTAGATGCCCCATCCCTGGAAATGTTCAAGTCCAGGTTGGATGGGGCTCTTAGCAACCTGATCTAGTGAATGGCAGGGGAATTGGAACTATTTGATCCTGAAGGTCCCTTCCAACATAAGCCTTTCTATAATTGCCTATAATTAAATGTTGACAGGTATTTTTTCCTAAGAATATTTCCTTTTTCCCTTTTAATCGTAATTTTTCTGATGCAGAAAAAATTTTGCATGGTATATGTGGCCTTTAGATTTTAGTTTGTTAAATTGACATTTCACAAAACATCTAAAGGCTTTTTAAAGGATCTAAAAAACAAAAGCATGAGAGAGTCCTCCAACTCCTCAATTTAAAAAGTGTTACTCTATTTTTGTTATACTTTATGGTATGTGCTGATAAAGAAGAGGACATCAAGTGGGAACCAAAGAAATCCAAATCTCAGTGTTTGAAATGTGAAATCTGCAAAAATCAAGACTTTAGAAAATTCAGTGTTTTTGAAATGCTGCACATTGACCAAGTGTACCAAACTCCTTCACTGTAATAGGTGAGTGGCAGCTGAAGGAGCTGCTCATTCCGGTTTGGTTTAAATGCTGGCCTTGGAAAGAGCATATTGCAGTTCCAAACCCCAGCTGGGCAGGCATCAGGATGTGTTGAGCAGAGTGTAATCCTGGAGATGGATTAATGGCTTGTTCCCCTTGAGTCAGAAATGTGAAGAAGCAGGCTGTTCATCTGGGTTTTCTTGCAGCCACCTCAGCTCTGAGAAGTTCCCTCACAAGCTGCACCCATTGCTCAGCTTTGTGGACCAAACCTGGCTGCTTCAGATGTGCAGCGGGTCCTGAAATCTGAGCGAGGGCTCCGTTGATAAGGAACATTCCTGACTTTGCTATACTCACCATCTTCTCCCATTTCTTGTTGCTGCTTCACAGTTCAGCTTCACCTCTCTGTAGATGCTTTTTATCCTTTTAGTTCTGTGATTCAGTCCTGTAACCAGAAGCCTTGGGTTACACAGTTTGCATCTTTTGCTGAGTGCAGATCTCTGGGATCAGTTATCCTGGAACACAGCAGCTCTGTCAGTTCCAGCACTTCTCACATCCTGTTTGCCACTGACAGGAAGTTTAATGGTTTGATTGAAGTTAATTTGCCAGTTTTGTTATTAAAATGTGTTTCTGTTTTGTGCTGTCTGGGGCAGTGGTTGGCTTGGCCAGCTTGGATCTCTTCCTTCCAGTGGAAGTGCTTGGGACTATGAAATCCTATTTGCACGATAAATACCCATATTGAAATTCTAATGAAAAGTGTTATTAGCATGAAAGTGGCTTGTTCATGAATAGTCCAGTTAAAAATAATTGAGTCAAATTCTTCTATTTCTTATACCAGCTTAGTTTTACCCTGAGTGGGCTGGACTGGCATGATTGAGTGGAGGATCCAGACCATTAGTTCAGTACTTTCATTCAGTGAGTAAATACTCAGTCCCCTAAGTAGGGAATTAATAATAGGGAGTAGCATAACAAGTTTCCCATGCACTGGGTTGAAAATATTTTACACAAAGTATCTTTGAAGTACTGCACAGGCAAATGACTTGGCTTATTAGCATATGTTTCATGTACTCTCTATGAAAAGTAATGTTTTGAGCCAAGATGTTTTTGTAATTATCTTTCAGTTAGCTTTTTGCACAGCAGTCTGTCAGTGTCTCTTTGTTTTACCCTGTTTTTGTTTTGGCAATATATCTTCTTCCAGTCTTCTTCTGTTCTCCTGTAAGTTCCTGATCACACTGGGAGAAAAATCCCTGAGTCTTGGGGCTAAAAAATGAGTTACTAACATGATTTCACTTAGTCAAATGTAGTCTGCTCTGAATAGGAAAGTATGCTTAACCTACTTTTATCAAGATCACCATATCATCCCTTTAAATACATGTATCCTTTTGAGAATATGTTCTGTCTGTGACATGATTCAGGGGAAGTTTTGTCTCAAAACCCATGAAATTTTGCAGCCTTTTGTAAATGTCAGCCCTTTCCTTTCACCTTTTTGTCTTCCATCCTTGGGAGGGAAAATGAAGCTGCAATTGTAGAGAAAGAAGCACAAGAATGACAATCTTTCCCTGTGTGGGTCATCATCCATCTTCACATTTGGGCCAGGCCAGATGAGTTCTGTTCCTGATTCTGCACCTAATCTGATTGATCTCAGTTTCCTCTCAAGTCCCAGGTGACTGGCATGTAATGGCAGCTTTTGACATCTCTTCTGCAAAATGCGAATTGTAATCAGCCACCTCCAGATGTACAAGGGAGAAAGAAGTATTATGTCCTTTCCACGTCCTGCTGTGTTTGATAGGGCAGGCACAGTGCTTGCAGAGATCCTTCTCTAAGCATTTGAAGCATGGTTTTGGAAGTAGACTTCCCTCATGAAGATGAATCTGAGAATTGGAACATTTCAGCTCATCTGGTTCAAATCAATGTGACCTTTGAAAGACGTGGAGAATTTGTGTTCCAAGTTGGTGAATTTGTTCTTTCCTATTTTATCATTAGTCTCTCACTTACAGGGCAGATTAGAGGACAGGCATTTAGTAATCTGATTTTCTTCTCTTGCAGAGCTCTTCAGAATCTGTTAGACCAGGGTACCTATGTGCTAGGCAGTGAATTAATTCTATTGCTGAACCTGCACAAGTAATTTTTTTAAGATTGGGGAAGATTTCCTGCTGTTAAGGTACCATGTGTTCAGTGAGTGCTGTGACATAGCAGCAAGTGTGACCATGCTTCTCTGTTAAAAATAGTGTCACTGTGGCTGGCACAGCTTCTTTGGACTGTGCAGGTATAACAGAGCACACAGGGAGCTGCTGTTTCCCTGAAGTGACCTCATCAGGCATACTGATAAGCAGTTCATATCCTACTCTTCCCTCTAACTCCTTGAAACAAATTAAACAAAAAGAAAAAAAAAAAAAAAGTTGTCAAGTTGTGAGTTTCCCCCCACCATTCTTTGTGTAATCAAAGGTTTTTTGTGTGTGCAGCTGCTAGAGATGTGTATGGAGAACTGTGGCCCAAGGTTCCAGTCTTTAGTTGTGAAGAAGGATTTCTGCAAAGACAAGCTGGTGAAACTGCTGAACCCAAGATACAACCTGCCCATTGATATGCAGGAGAAAATCCTGACCTTTATTATGGTGAGTCTGGAGTACACTGTGAGTGTTTACAGTGTCTCTGCTGTGTGGTAAATGTTTAATTGTGTTTAAATCCTGGGAGCCTCTTCTGAAAGCAGAGCTTAACTTCAGAGCTGTTGTGATTCCTGTTGCACTGAATGGAATTATCCAAAGTGGAAGAAGGGAATGACCTGTCTTTAGGACCACATGTTTTAAAAGCATTTGTCTGACCCCTGACTGGCCATTTCTGTGACTGTTACTGTTCCTGATATTTCAAAACCAGGTCTGGGCACGAGGTTTTCAAGGGATGGTGGATGTGAGCGAAGTAAAAGAAGTTTACCTAGAATTGCTGAAGAAAGGAGTGGAGTTTCCATCCTCTGACACCAGCAGTGTTGGATCTAAGGTGAGGATACACAAGGACACTTCAGAAATGGGATACGTTAATTTTATGGGACACAGAAGGCGTGTTTCATCTGGGTTTTTTTATTTAAATGCTTCAGGGCAGAATATGACCAAATTACTAAAGCACGTGAGCAGGAATCAGTTTCAGTTACAACAGCTAAGCTAACAACAAAGAAACCTGACCTATATAGTAGTTTATTTCATTTTCTAGTACAGATTCATGGATATGTTCTCAGAAATGAAGCATCTCTGTCTTGAGACTTTGGAAGATCTGTGCATGCTGTTTACTTCAAAATAAATGAGTGCTTAGTGCTCCAAACTTGTCAGCTTCTGAAAGCCTCAATAAAAATGAGTAAGATTTTCACAAAAACACATACTGTTGAGAATATGAGCATCATCTATCTTTAAGATTAAATGGAGAGATGTAGAAATCAATAAGAAAATATTATTGTCTGTGTATCTCTCCAGCTTTGCACAGTAAGAGTTATTTAAGTCTATGTCATAGGTAGTATTGTGTGGCATTTAGGACATTAACTATAACTATGCTTTGAACATTGTGCAGTAGCTGGAAATACAGTACATGGTTTAATGCCATTCTTTCTAGATTTCCTTTTCTTTTTAGATGAATTTTCACAAGAGCTTTGGGCAGTGTGAAAGCCATCCATCACTGCATGGAATCTTGCAGTTACAGAGTTTGATGTCTATAATTAGTGCAGACAGGAATAATTCAGATTTATCCTGAGTTTGATATTCTGGTTGAATAGTGGAGTGCGCAAAAGCCTATGTATTTAAAAGTTCTTAGAACAAGCTGTGTGAAGAATGCTCTCAATAGATACTAATTTTTTCCCTCGCCTAGCCCATTAGAGATTATTTTGTCTACATCATATACTTGCCAGTAAAAATCAGTGCCAAACCTTCTGTCTCTCTTAGCAGACCTGAACACAGTGTTTACCTTAATCTCCAGGAAGTGAAGGGTTTGTAGTGTGTTGTGCAGGCTGGAGTTTACATTGGAATTTTTTAGCAGTCAGTTCAGATGCAGTGCAGGTGAAGCTCTCTCAGGCTGTTTCTGCTTTTCAGTCCAGGTGACTTTTGCATTTTACCTTCTGCAGAGACCCAGACTCAGCCTTTCTGCTGCTTCCAAGTGTGATCACATTCCAAATTGTCCTTCATTGCAAAATTGCAGTGGCACTCTGGGAAGGACTCTTTGCTCTTAGATGGCTTAATTATTCCTTGCTAGCCTGTTCTTAAGGCATCCCCACTTCATCCTGTGATGGCGCTTATTTGCAAACCCTTTCTAAAAATATTTGATTTCCAAGCCTTATTTCATTACAAAATAGCCATTATATTTATTTTTGTAAATAGGAGCACAACGAATTCCTTGGGAGCAATGATTATGAGGAAGATCCTTCCCATTTGTGTAGTCTGAGAGATGTTCCTCTCTCAGCAGGATGCCTGCTGCAATTTTGTTCAACCCAAGCTCTGGTTTTTTTTGTGTTTTCACAGATTTCACCCCGGCCTTGTGCAAAGTCATCCCCATCCCCTGCCAGTCCTGCCAAACGTTCCTTGCTGCCTCTTCCCACGGGCCCAACGCTGTTGTTGACTCCGGAGCAGGTGCAGCACTGCAGGTTTAGGGGAGGGTGGGAGCACTGAAAAGTGCTGTGAATGTGAGCCTTGAGCAGCCTGGGTGCTCCTGGAGGGACCCTCAGTGCTGTGGGTTCCTGCTGGGTTTGTGGAGTTACTGCTCGAGTGTGTGGATATCTAATCACATCTTGCAGTGCTCTTATGCAAATTGATAAAAGCCTGTTCAGAGATAAGTGAGAAAGCCAAATTTATTTCACATAAGGCTTGTGTGAAGGGGTTGTTATAAAAAACAGGAAGGCAAGGACAGTTCTCTTGCATTCCTGCTTGCCCTGTATGTAACTAAAAGGAGGAACAGTAACATCAGTAAGAGGCATTAACTGTAAGGAAACAAATAGTGCTGTCAGGCTCGGATCTTAGTTTGAGTGCACATTTAAAAGCTGAACTAATTCTGTTAATTTCCATGGTGTGTTACCAAAGTAAAACAATGCTAATTAATAATAATGCATATTATACCTGATGGGAAAGTGTGTATTAGAGGTAAAAATTAATCTATTTTCTCTGTTCACCTACACAATATCCTCCTGTTGAATTCCAACAGATTGGGAAACTGTACAGTGAACTGGATATGGCAAAAATTAATGTGAGAGTGATGTCATCAATATTGAAAGAAAACGTTCCTGGCTCTGAAAATCCGGATGATATGAATCTTTTACAGGTACATGATAATTCATTGATAGGGCTATTGGTTTGGTTATAATTGTTTTTTAAAGTGTAACATATTGACTTTTAACATTTGGATTCAGATTGACAAATGGAACCCAACAACAGGTTTCTATCTCTCATTTTCTTTCATTTCCTTCACCTTCCCTTTGACATCTTGATAGTCAGGAGAGGACAATACATCTTGCAATGCAAATTTAAGCTCTAGGGAATTCCAGTGGCAAAGGAATTTCATAATGGAGCGTTCTCTGTTGAGCATGTTCTGTCAAACAGCCCTGAGAACATTCCAGCTGGAGAATAGATGATGACACAGTGTCACTCTCACATCCATCCTGGAGTTTGCAGAGCTCTATTTATTATCACCAGTCCCTTGGGGGCAGACTGGGGGCCAGTGAAGAATATGAAGCATTGGCTTTATGTGTGTGACCTCAGAGATTGGGAGCTTGCTGTGCTGCAGAGGAATTCATGTGCTCTCCAAGTGTAGCCTGAAGGAAGTGTATTGCAATAGTCCAGTGATGCGACAGTGAACCTGTACATGCTCCTTCTGGGATATTATGCTTATTATTGTGCTTATGCTGTATTTTCCAGTTTAGCGATTAAAAGTACAGTATTACTTCAGCATTGCAATAGTAACCTATGTTAATGGAAGCTTTTTGGTTTCACGTTGTCTCTGAGAACTTAAAAAGCTACATCCTTCTGTTTCTAACCTTATCTCCAAACTGCTACAATAAGGAAGCATTTTTGGTAGTTTTGCAGCATTAAATGTTTTGAAGAACTGGTCTGATTTTTGCAAGCATTCAGTGTGCTCCTCCTCCACATCTACATCCACATGTAGAAATCTTCATGTGCAACAAACCCTTACTGGGTGCTGTTGAGAATACACTGGTTAATTATTCTTGACCACCTCTGTCCAGTTCATTACAAGGTTGGGAAACAGAAAAAGTTTGTCTTTTATTTCCTGTTACCTGCCATATCACTTCTGTATGTGGGTGCACAGATTCAGCTGCCCATGGTAAAGCAGTGGATTTGTACTGACACTCCCAGTAATAAAATTGTTGGCAAAAAGTTAAGGACAGGGTGTAGAGTTCCCATATGTAGGAGAGTGAATGAAAATTCATTCCTTTCACTGTTGTTTTTTCTGTTCTTTTCCCCCTGTGCACGGAGTGGTGTAAAACATCAGGCACAGCAAACCTATTCCTTGAACAACACTACCTGGAATGCTTGGATTAGACTTCTGTTGTCACAGAACAAAATCCTTTATAAAAGAGCTGCTTGTTTAGACTTTGAGTGAGTTGGAGACATTGATTTTAGTACTTCAGATTATCTGGAGTCCCTCAATAAAACTGTAACAAGGTGAACTTGATCAGTGTTTACAGTTCTTTATCTTCATTAGTGGCCAGGCTCCTCTCTTTCCCCACCCTGTTTTGGACAAGGTTTAAGATACCATATTTCACTGGAAATAATGTGCTGGCCAATAACTGTAGTTAAAGAATAGTTCAGGATCAGCCAAGAAGAGTAATGAACTTTTGTACTGGATGGTGAATAGACATAATGAACAAATAGTGGATGGATGTGCAGGCATTTGGGTCCAGATCAGCAGCTGGTAAGAATTAGCATAAATGTACTGGAAGCACTGATGGCTGTTATTCCAGCTGCTACTCCATCATTGTAAAACTCCAGTTTTCAGGCCCAAAATGAGTATCTCAATTTCCTTCTCTATTGAGTATTGACACGTGCCAGTCTGCTTGTGTAATGGAGTCTTTAGAAATACACATTTTTTTAAATGCAGATCACGAAGTAAAGTGGAGTTGGGGAGATTTTAAATGTAATTAAAGACATTAGGGTGAACACATTTTTATGTGTTTTATCCTGAGCTGTGAAGGTACAGTACTGAAAAGTACAGCACTCTGCAATCCTGACACAGATTTAGCAAAGGGGTACAAATTTTGTGTTAAATAAATAATTGATTTATGTGAAGTACTGTGTTTTTTTGAGGAAAAATCAGATCACTTAGAATATCAAAGCAATTTCTGAATAGCAGTGTGCTAATAGAGTCATTTCCCCCTTCCTTTTTTTTTTTCCCTTTGTTTCTTTAAGCCGACCCAGCCTGCATTTGCAAGTGTAGTATGAAGGAGAAAAAATGTTGGCTGAATTAAAGTTCCTGTTGCTAAAGAATTTGTTTCTTTGAACATGCAAAATCTGCAGAAGGGAGTAATGTAAACAGACTATCTTCCACTCTACCAGGCAATAATGCAAAATTCCGCTTAATAAACTCTCATAATTCTCCTATCTGCTGATTCTCTAAGGTTTGTGTTACTTTCTCAAAAATCCATAGATTGTTTATACAGACTTCCTACTTAAATGAATAGTTGGAGCTTGAGATTGTCACAGAGCACTTCTGACCTTTAGACTAATATTGTCTTTTCTTCAAGCAGGATTATGTCCAAGTATCCTGCTGAGTTTAATCAGCTTCAAGCAGGATCAAATCACATTGGCTCTACATCACCCAGAGGGGTCTCTGTTATTTTGCAATTTGTAATTTACGCTTTAGAGACACATATATCTTTAGAAATGAAGGTGGGTCGAGAGGTAGGGATTGTGTGGGAGTGATGTGGAGGTGGGAGTTGTGATCCTGCATTGCAGAGATCAAGGACATGGACATTGTTCTATTTGCAATGGCTGGTACCTCAGTGGTTTGTGTAAATTAAGAAATCTTTCCTGTGATTCTGCAGTGCTTGAGCATCTTGTCATTCATTTCCAGAAACACACTGAGAGACCACAGTTATGATTTTGAATTTTTTCTCCTTCCCTTGCCTCGGGCAGAAATTGTACAAGACCTGTCGGATGATGCAGGAGAGGATCATGGAATTGTTGGTGACAGTGGAGAATGAAGATGTGATTGTTGAACTAATACAAGTAAATGAAGATCTGAATAATGTCCTCCTGGGACATGAAAGGTAAGTGTGGGGCCTCTCTCCTCACATTTGGAATCCTGCCTGAATAAATACACTTAATGGAGAGATGGTCCCTATGCCTATTGTTGATCCTCCCCATGGAGACAGATTTTAAAATTCAGAAAAGAAATATGATTGCAGAGAGAAAAAATTCAGAAAAGAAATATGATTGCAGAAAGAGAAAATTATGTATTTGCTACCTCCTAAACGCCTCAGAAATGGTTCTGGAAAGTAGTTAGGAAACATTTGAGTGGTGTAAACTGAGTTAACTGCATGGGCAGGAAATCAGATGGAGGCACACAAGAATAATTTGGAATTTGACATCCCTTTTTGGCACAGTCCAGTGAATTTGTCAACAACTGCTACAAATCCTTTGGTGTTGGTGCTTATCTCTGTTACGTGTCCGTGTTTCCAGAATAGAATACTTACCCTTCTTCCTAAACAATTTTGACAGCTTTACTGCAAGAATTGGCCATAGAGCAGCCTTCTGCCTCATTGCATGCTTAGGAGAGTTGCTTGCTGTTCTCAGCTGGATTGAAACATACTGTTCTGCTTGTCTTACAGCAGAAAATGTTTCTTTCACACATGAAAGCACAGCAGTACTCCTGTTGACATCCTGGGTATTTGTCTGCTATGGCACTGGTAGCATGACTGGATGCTGGCAAAACTGAAATTAGTTTTCAGCTTAAAATTCTAGTGTTGTACCCCAAAATATCACATGAGTATACTTATGGAGAGTCTTCTGATTTAATAGGAGATACCCTTCCATCTTAAGAAGTTGATCTCTTCCATGGCTAAAAAGTGTTCAAGGAATCATTATGCACCAAGTGCAATTCTTCTGTATTAAATTTAGCAAATTTATAGAATTTAGTAATCTTTTCTTTTTAATCCTCTTCTGAATGCTGCACTGAAAACATCACTAATTCTTCTAAGTGTCAGGCATAAACTTTGGGCCTAATCATGACAATGTTAAGTTTTCATTTACTCTTAAGTCTTATCCACTGTAGTGTTGGTGGATTTTACAGCAGCTATCTTGAAAGAACTGTGTGCTCACTTCTTCCTTTAGGAGGTTTTTCCTTTAAAGAAGCAAAAAAATTAATTTTATTCAGCTTTTGTGTAAATCCTCTGAAGTCAGATGTGGACTTAGACTTTTGTTACAAGTGATGAATACTGGTGAAGCTGGGAACCTCAAACTGTGAATACAAGCTTGTGGATGTAATTCAACTCACTAAAAAATATGGTGATGGAAAGAATGATAATTTGGGCAGAAAACTACTGTATTCTAGTACTGTAAAGCTATGGTTTGTATGGTACAGGTCTTCCTGAGTGCAGATCCATTGCACTTCAGAGTGGATAAGTCTGAAAATGTATCTGGCTAGTTTTGTGTTGCATAAGATTTGTCCTTTGGATTTCCCTCTGAACAATGAGGTGTGTAAAGGGACAACTGATTTTAATGAGCTGTATCTGTTTCACACTGTGCATGTTGTTGGAGGATGAGTCTACTGCATTTTCTGTTTCTGATTATTAATGTAGAATCCAAATTAAATCCAGAGCAATCTCAACTGTGCAACCAAAGCTCATGTGTGTAACAGTGCCTCCCTCTAGTGTCTCTGCAGCTTCTTGGTTCTTCCTCGATTACAGATTTCTGCTCTACAATTGGAAAGGTTTTTTTACTGCTGTTTCTTCATGCATCTGTACTCTTTTTCTGGGCCTGCCTAGTACAGTAACCCTGAATAGCAAATGCAGTTGGATAAACTGTCCATACAACTCAAGGCTCTTGGTCCTGAAACACAGTGACCTTCTAGATGCTCACTGTCACCTGTGTGGGTCTGCTCTGGACCCACAGTAGTGGGTGGTCCACTGTTATTATTCCTAGAATATACATATTTATGCAGGTAGGGTTTTTTGGGGGCTTTTTTTTCAATTAAAAAAAAAAATATTGCAAAGGCCTGCACTAGTGGGAGGGCTGTGTGCCAGAACAGGTCCTGGGAGGGCATGAGGGAATGCCCAGAGTTCTGAGGACAGAAGGCTTCCTGGAAGAAGTGTTCTGGTCAGGAGTTGGATTTGGCACAGTGGATGTTCACAGTTACCTGCTTGGTGTAAACAGAGCCAAACCACTGTCAGAGAAGCCTTGGTTTTGTTTAGGAGCAAGCAGATGGCTGTCTCCAAACAGGGGCCAGGAACAAACCAGCTGGTGTTGGTGTAGGAGATACCAGCACCACAGCCCTGGAATGGGAGTCAGGCTGCCCACAAAGCCAAGTGCCCCAGAGACAGCACCTGGAGTGCTTGTTTGGTGCTTCTGGAGTCTTTGGAGAATCACAAGTTGATTATAACTGGTTTCATATTCTTCTGAAGCACAGCACAGGAATGTAGGAATGAACATTTAACTCTGCACCTTCAACAGGTTCTCACGGAACAGAGTTCGTTTCCTGGAGAACCAGAGGATCCAGCGGGAGCGGGAGGAGGTAATTAAGGAGGAGCTGCTGAGCTGCAGGACTGCAAACATTCCTTTTGCTCTTCCTTGTGAAAAATACACTTCTGATGCATGCAGAATTTTATTCTCTAGGTGAAAGGTACAAGAGACAGCAGAGTAACACTACTCTTACTGATTCTTTTAAAGTCTCACTTGCAGAATTTCATGCAAACTCATGTACCTAAAGTAGCAAATAATGTCAAATGTAAGAGGGAAGCTTGGGCGTGAAAAATGAGGAGAGATTTATTCAAATGCTGATTTATTGCCTCTCCAGCTAAGCACAATTATCTGCCATGCAAAAAATGAGAAACCATAGGTTCTTTTCATTTGTTTCCTGTTAATGATCTAGAGACTGAAATACTGCTACACTTTGAGAATTCATTTCTTCTATTGATTTTTTTTTTCCTGAGTCAAAGCTTTTTCTGAATTGTGAATAATGGCTTGTAGCAAATCTTTAATGACTGTTCTTTATTGATTGATAATTATGGTTGTTAATTATATTGCCCAAAGTAGTTTTGCACATGTTTCACCTTCTTCTAAGCCATAATTGTGCAGTCATCTAGGACTCAGCATGAAAATGCATTGTGAATGCTGAAATACTGCTGCCAATTATTTAAAAAAAGTAGAAGTTGGTCTTGTTTTCCTTGAAAAGCCACTATTATTACATTCAGGTTATGTAGGTGGATGGTTTTCTTGATGGATCCACTGTTGGGTTAATTAATAACCCAAATGGTGCAGTCTGTGCATTTTTATATTATTAAGCAGACTGAGTTTAAAATGCATCATCTTTTATTTATTTATTTTTCATCTGATGTTACTAAACCTGTATGATTCAAGCATGTGGTTTTATTAAACCTTTGGCTGGCTATGTTTTTAATTCCAACACATTCACAGGAGAAAGGAAGGGAGCTTTTTTCTGTGTCCTAGAATTTTTTTTTTTTTTTTTTTTTTTTTTTTTTTTTTTTTTTTTTTTTTTT